TGTGCAGGCATACACATAGGCACATGTACACCCTTGTGCACACACAGGTACAGGCACACACAGGCACATGCGCACATACACGCACACACAGACACATGTACACACACAGGCACACACAGGCATATGTGCAGGCATACACATAGGCACATGTACACCCTTGTGCACACACAGGCACACACAGGCACATGCACACACATAGGCACCTGCACACACACAGGCACACACAGGCATATGTGCAGGCATACACATAGGCACATGTACACCCTTGTGCACACACAGGCACACACAGGCACATGCACACACACAGACACATGCACACGCACAGGCACACACAGGCATATGTGCAGGCATACACATAGGCACATGTACACCCATGTGCACACACAGGCACACACAGGTCAACAGAGCAGGTATCTCAGGTGGGGTCTACCAGCGTCCTCCCCGTGGCCACCATCCAGGCTGGGGCTGTGTGCTGGAGTTAAGGGGTGCTGTGCTGGAGCCCACCCAGCTGGGACTGGAGTGTTCACGGGACCTCATCCCTCAAGCATCATCCTGGCCCTTGAGTCTGGCTGGGGACACAGAATTGAGACCCCAGGTGTCCCTGACCCCCTTGCTCACAGATCAGGGTATGCAGCTGTGCACAGGGACGGGGGCTCATGAGGGCCTGTGAAGAGCTGATCTGAGACAGGACCAGATCCCCTGTGGCCCCGTGGCCATCTTCCGCCTCCAGCATTTGCCGCTCGAGCCTGGCACCATGGCGCCCCCTGGTGGCTGACGCTGCAGCCCCAGCATAGGGCCTCTCCAGGCCTCCTTCCTGGGCCCCTGGCTTGGCCCTGCTGCCACCAGCCTTGTCTTCCAGCCAGGCATCCTTCTGGCAGGGCACATGCCCTCTGGGTGACAGTCAACCTGCCCTGTCATCTCCCCACTGGGGCCTCCTGCCCGACCCCGAAGCCAGACCACACAGCCAGGGTTTCAGTGCCCCCCACATGGCCAGCACTGTCCCTGCCCATGCTCCTGTGCCCCAGAGCAGGAGTCCTGGTTAGCGCTGGGGCCACTGCATCCTGCTCTGCTTCCCTTGGGCCCACCCCACGCTGGCTGGCTGCCACCGCAGCTCTAGGAGGTGGCTCTATCCCTATCCTTGGAGACATTTACAAACCAGTAGTCATTCAACAAGCATTTGCTGAACACGAAGGCTGGGCTGAAGACCCTGCCACCCCTGGGAACCCAGGAGACTCTACCCTTGGGGTGCCGTGGAGTGGCCCAACCTCCTCCAGGGAAGCAAAACCCCCAGTGAGGCTTTCCAGGGTCTCTGAGCCCACAAACCACTCACGGGGCAAGGGTCTCCAGCAGGAGAGGGCTGGAGGTGGGAAAGGGGGGAACTCACAGCTGGAACCAGGGAGGAGCTGCCCAGCTCAGGTGGGAAAGGAGGACAGGAGCCGAGCAGGGGCAGGAAGGACGGGAGGGGAGGCAGGGTTGGCAGGTGGAGTCTGGAATGGCTATCAAGGGCCCATGGGGACCAACATGGGGCTCACACGGAGGAGTCGGCATGGGGAACAAGGGCCACTTCTGTAGGATTGTGGGACTTCAGGCCGAGGAGACCCCTCCCAGCGACTGTGTGATGGCAGCTACTTCCAGCTACTGAGGGTGTGGCATTCAGGAGGACACCCCAGCTGGGGGCCCAGCAAAGGCGGGCTTCCCTTGACCTGCCTCATGTCCCCTAACAGGAGATGGCATTCACCCAAACCCTGTCTCCAGCGTCTGCTGGGTAACAGAACAAGACCTTCCCAGAGCCTTTGGGAGTGGCTTCCAGGGCTGGGGGCCAGCTCTGCCTTTCAGGGCTCCTGCGGGAACCAGTGTGGGGTGTGTGGGTGATGGGTGGAGGGCCCTGGATGGCCTGCGTCCCTTGGGCCTCTGTTTCTTTCTGGACACTTGTGGGTGGGTGCGAGGCAGCCTTCCCAAGCTCACAGCCCTGCAGCGCAGATTCCTTTCTGGGGTGCTGGGCGTGTGTGAGGACACAGAGAACTCACCCCAGCCATGAGGCCCTGGGCCTCCCTCATGGTGGCTCCGGCGCTCAGGGCAGCCCCCAGGGTCAGGAGCACTGCCAGGCTGACCCCCGTGTAGATGGCTGGGTGGGAAGAGAAAGGAGGTGGGTTGAGGGTTGCCCAGGACAGGGGCCCAAGTGTGCAGAGCCAGGGTCTGAAATCCAATGTGGGGGGGTCCCAGGGGTTGCTGGACTTCTGGGAAGGCTCTGAATGAACCAGGTCTCCCCATCAGACAGGGATGTGCCCCATCCCAAGCAACCTCTTTCCTGCCAATGCTCAGGACTCTGAGGAAGGAGGGGAGAGGTGGGTGAACGCTTGGCCTGGGGGCTGCCCCTCCTTCCCCTCTTCCTGCCCCCTCTGCCTCTGGGGCTGTCTTTGAAGCCACATCCCGTCTCCCCACGCCCCAGTGACAGGTGGCCCATGGGGGCCATAATCTTATCAGTCCAGACCCAGGCCCCAGGCTTCCTGCTCCAGGGAGGCCATGGCCCCCGGGATTCAAGGAAAAGAAGTGTGGCCTGGGGGCTGGGCTCTCCAGGCCTGACACCAAGAGCCTCAGTGTCCCCCACACCACCCTCCTGGGCCCCTCATTAAGGCAGTCTTCCTCACTCTGGTCCCTAAGTAGTGACCCCTGCAGGTACTGGCCCTCACTCAGTGGTCTCTGCCCTCTGAACATCATATATTTTACTGTCAAGTCCCTGGATGGCAGGTATGCCCAGAGCAGTGGCTGGTACATCCTGGGTGCTCAGCGGGACATCAGTGACCCTGAACATCCACAGGTGGCTCCTGCTTCTAGTTGACCCTGACCACACAGAGCTGGGTCCTGATGACCCCGACACACCTACATCCTGGGTGCTCAGCGGGACATCAGTGACCCTGAACATCCACAGATGGCTCCTGCTTCTAGTTGACCCTGACCACACAGAGCTGGGTCCTGATGACCCCGACACACCCATGCCCCTGTGGACGGGAGACCCAGGCTGTCATTCAGACCCCCGGCCTCTGCCTGGTGGAGCCAGGGCTCCAGGGTGGCCCCTCCTGGCCCGTCACCGCCCCCACCCCATTCCTACCCAAAGCCTGCCTCCCGCCCCGGCCACTTTTGCACCCGAAGCCCCTCTCCGAGGCACCAGCCCAGACTCACCCCAGTGGTGTGTGGCCTCGTAAGGGCTCCTCTCCAAGGGTGCGTGGCTGATGACAGCAAGGTGGGCCCCGAAGTGGGTGAGAGCCGCCATGGTGGCCATAGCAAGGCCCAGCAGCTGGGGACGGGCGCAGACTCAGCCCCCTCCCTGCACTCACAGGTGGGGAGACAGGCCCCTGAGGGCAGGGTGGGGGGCTCCTGGGGTCCCCAGCCAGGTCCCTCCAGCTTCCTTGTCTCCTATGAGACAGGCTCAGCTGCAGGGGTACCGGTGCTTCCGTGGGGTCATTTCAGGGAAGGCTTTGCCCCAGACACCCCCCACCCCCCCATACACGCATGGCCCAGCTTCTCCGAGGACCCAGAACCTTGGATCATTCCGTCCACAGTGTGGGCAGTGGCCCCCCATCCCCCATAGCACCTTGCCCCCGTGAGGGCACCCTCTGGGGCAGAACAAGGCAGAAGAGCCCTGGAGTCCAGGCACCCAAGGCCCTGGGCACAACTCAGGCCTCCTTCAGGTCCAGCCTGCCCCTCCAAGGACAGACGCTGCCCAAATGGTCACTGCCTGCTGGATGTCCACTGCCAGGGACCGCAGGCGCATGTCTGCAATGGCAGGGGGTATGTATGGAGGTAACCCCAATGCTGGAGGCCTGGTGACAGCCCTACCACCCCCGCCTACCGCCCCTCCTGCCCCACCTGCCTGTTACCAAGACAAAGAAGCTGGTGACCAGCATCTGGCATTTGGCGACCCGGACTCGACTCCAAGGCCCCATGGTGGTCTCCTCTCCTCTCCCGTCCTTTGCCTCTGTGGTTTCCAGCTGGGCAGGGGCCTTAGACCACAGCTGCCCGCCCAGGAGGCAGGCAGCGTCCACCCGTCTGTGTGTCTAGGACATGCCCCTAGAACCGAGCTGCTGGGTGCCCCGGAAGAAGGGCTGGCAGGAAGGGGAGGGGCAGCGAGGCAGCTCCTGCCACCCCTGCTGCCCCTAGCCCTGGCCCGAGACACCAGTGTGTCGGCTGATATGGGGACCTCTCCCAGAGGGAGTGGCCTTGTTCTCGGTGAGGCCACAGAGGACAGCGCTGGGGGGAGGCGGGTGAGGAGGAGGAAGAGAGGGCGCCTGGGGAGGGGTGAGCTCCCTGTGTGGGAGAGCGCAGGGGGGCACAGGACCCCCAGGGAGTCTTGATCCTTAGAGGAATCTGTGAGACAAGGCCCATCTGTGCATCATTATTAAAATGTCCTTATGACAAACCATTTGAAACGCTCCCTGACGACCAGTTTCGAAAAGGTAATCCGATTTTCAAGGGCTTAGTGACACAAATGGGTGACTGGGAGCAGAGCCATCCTGGGGCCGCAGGGGAGGGCTGGGGCCTCGCTTGCACCCACGTGGGGCCTCCCGGGAGGCTTTGTTAAAGCGCAAATCTGCAGTTACACAAACTCAAATGTGTAGGGGTCTAAATGGGCCTTTGGGGGCCAAGGTGGGCTTAGAGACGTGGTAAATGCTCTTGGTAGGACCAGTCTGGGTCCTTGTGCACACTGTGGGACCATGGCAGGGGAGGAGGAGGCCCCACAGATCTGTGGGCACAGCAACCCCTCGGCCTTCTAGAAACCTGTGGAACAGGCCCCGGGGCCGGCCACCAGCCTTGCTGCTGGGAAAGTGACCTGGGTCCGGCTGCCTGCTCAGGAAGGCTGTCACCGGAGCGGGTGCCAAGGCCGACTTCTCCCTTCCTCTGAAAGGAAAGCAGGGGCAAGTGGGACCCCTTGTCTGTCCTAGTGCCCCCAGGTAGCCCCCTCTGCAGCTCTGGTCCCCAGGAATCCCTGCCGTGAGCCTGTGGGGGCCTGTGGGGATTTCAGATACTCAAGGTGTCATTTCAGGTGGAGGCAGGGCCCAGTCCAGGTGTGGCTCAGGCTGGGGCTCGGGTGGGAACTGAGGGTCACGGCGAGCATGGACGTTCTGGTCTGGGGTGCGTCAGGCCCGTGGGCTGTGCAGCAAACAGTGTGTGGAGGGAAGATGCTGCCCACCCCCAGCCACACCTGCCCCCTCTCTGGGCACCCTGGGGTGGCTGCCACTTGCTTTGGAGGCCAGTTCTGGCCTGCAGGAGACAGGAAGGGGCCCTAAAGCAGCGGATTCAGCCACAGGGGCTGGCCCAGGTGGACGGATCCCACTACCCCGACCATGCACCCTGTCCTGAGTGCACCGCCACAAGTACTCCCGCCCGCCTTTATTTCCAAGGGAGATGCTGAGCTTGATTTTGTGTGTGTGCTGTTAAAAGAATACATTTAGGCAAATTAAGTTTAACAATGTTTAATTTGAGGGAGAAAAAAAAAAGCGATTCACGAATTGGGCATCCCCTAGAGTCAGAATAGATTCCGAGGGAGCACAGCTGAAAATGCCTGGTCGGTTAGATTTATAGACAGGAAAAGGGAGTGAAGTGTGGACAGTGGACCTCCTGAAGTTGGCCGAGCTTTAGGGGTCATCACAGAAGCACACTTCTGGGTGGGGTTTTCAATTTGCCCACGTGCTTATGAGCCAGGTTAGGTTGTGGTTCTTGTAAGAGCTCAGGAGCGAGAGTATGGAGCCTTTCTCAGGCCAGAACTTTTTAGTTTGGTTTAAAACTGCCCCCTTTGGGTCAGCCTCTCAATTTTGAGAGATTGACCAAAACTTTGTGCGTTGACACCCACTCTCTGTCACCATCGCAAATGACTTATTTGGTCTTGGTGTGGAGTTCACCGGTCTCCTTATGTCTGAGCATGGAGTCCAGCAGTCTCAACATGATACGCGTTGACCGGTTCTCATGTTACTGCTGATCTAGTCGAAGTGAGAGCATTCGGTGCATGATGGATGGCTGGACACAAGACACGTAAGACTTGAGAGAACGCAGCACCCCAGGGGGGCTGTGATTGAGACAGGAGGGGCTCGATTTCCATGGGTTCAGGTTTCAGGACACACTTGTGGGTTTGAAGCCACTCCCTGAGGTCTCAGGCCCCTCCTCTAAGACTTCCCCTAAAGGAGAGTTACTGTGGCTTGTCAGACCTATTTTTGGCACCAACAGGGGGACGTTGAGATCACAAGGGGCAGACTTATGCAAAGCCAGTGGCTGAGCATGCTCAGTAAAGTGGAATTGATCTCTTGAATGACCTTCCAGTGGAGGTGCTGAACAGCACAGAATATTCCTGAATATGTTTAGTGCATGTGATAGGATTTGACCAATGAACATGCACAAAAAGGAGACCAACTGAGCATGTGCAAGACTATGTTACATAACTGGGAACCACCCCGTTGGTTGCATATTAATTAAATAGCATGAATATGTATTAGAAAGCAAAACTGCAGAAGCTCAATCCTGGCAGAAGGCAGGGCTGCTGCTCACTGTCTCGAGCCAGCGTCCACTCTGTACTGAGCTTTAAGTGTATATTTCTTTGTTTTATATTAAAGCTGGTGTCGCCCCTGCTCAGTCTCTGGAGGTGGGCCTCACTCCTGTGCAATCTGTGTCTCTTATTCATTACATGAAACCTGTTCTCACTTTTTACTGTGACTCCACCCTTGAATTCTTTCCTGTGGCAGAGTCAAGAACCTGGTAAGAGGACAGGGTGGGCTGAGGCCGGCCATCGGGCCTCCCCGGACTCTTTCCTCTAGTATCATGAGGACTGTCAAAAGGATAATATCAAAAGACCAGAGTGGACTCTTAAAATAAGAGTTCTTATGAAACAGACCAAACCAAAACAGACAAGCCAAGGTTCAGGCAATACGGGCAATTCAGCAGTAGCTGAGTCTATTTGGTTGGTCACCGTCCTTGTTTGGTGTACGGTAGCGATTAAGGATCGTAGTTTGCTGTAAAGTGGCCTGATTTAAGGAAGCCTTCATTTTTGCTGAGTCTATTTGGTTGGTCACCGTCCTTGTTTGGTGTATGGTAGCGATTAAGGATCGTAGTTTGCTGTAAAGTGGCCTGATTTAAGGAAGCCTTCATTTTTGTTGTTAGCCTAGTAACACAAGTAGTAATAACCTGGTGACCGACTAGAAGAAATACGAATATTAGAAAACCTTGGAAAACCCAAACTTGCCGTCCACCATCTCGGATGCCTGCAAACTCTTAGATGCTCCTGTAAACACATAACGTGCTCCTTTCGATTGAGAAATTTCCTTAATGTATTTGGTGGCAGAGTCTAAGGAAATAGCAGTATCAGCCTCCTTTGTAATTAGGCTTTCTGTGGTAACAAAATCAGGGCAGAGACAGGCACAACATTCAGTTTTGTTCAAGACCAAATGTGAGCCTCCAACTTGAGCAAAAAGGAGGACCTAAAGCTGCGCGAGGTTCCACTAAGCGTTTTGTTATCATCCACCTTTCGAAGAGCAGCTTCTACCTGCCTGGAGCCCAGGGAGGTCTGATTGGCTACAAAATCCAAGATTTTTTCCCAACCTATGGTTGAATTTCAAATTCCATACAACTGGTACGCCACCACCACCAAGAGTGAGACCCCAGAAACCCCACTGGAATCTTTCCTCCATAGAAATGAGCGTATTGTCATCTATTTCAAGATTGGTGCTAATTTCAGTTACTGACTGTTTTGGCCTCTGATCATGGGAGCTATGATGAGAGCTTTCAGGGGATGCTATTCGAAAGGCAGGAGTGACCCAGGACAAATAGCAAGATCCAAACCCTTGTGGAGGCAGCACAGAACAAGCAGATTCTCTGCAGACCCAGTATAGGCCCTTGGGAGTGGAAAGGGAACCAGCTGGTTGCATTAGAGCAGGGGTCAGTTAAGTCTGCTCACGCATAAAGTTGCATAGCTCCTTAACAGGGTCCAATGGGAAATGTACTTTTCTGTGGGCCCTCTGTAGCATGCTGTAGAGATGTATAACCACGTTTGGAAAGAACGGACCCTACTGGATTTAGTCCAGTGACATTACACAATTACTCGTACTCACATAGGCAGTTTCCAGATCTTGAGTGCGTCATGTCTGAAAGCACCATCTTCTTTTTGCAGGCATCACTTGAGCAGATTTTCTATATTTCATAACAACCAGACTGTTAATTGGAAAAGTCAGAGTGTTGTTTCTGGTGAGTGCAGGAAAGCGAGCAGCAGTGATGCTTAGAATGCCAAGGATGGCTTTCCACTCTTCCTCTGGAGTTTCAGGGTGACCGTCATTGGGAACACAGGGAGGCATTTGTATCAGTGGAATTGTTCCCTGATGTTTTGGTGTCAGCCCACAAACTCAACCCTTGCTCTGGTCGTGTGCTATTGCATAAGCTCAGGCTAAAGCCAGCTACTGATTAGGGTCCCATGGGCTTTCCTGTGGGGAAAAGGAAAGGATCAGGAGAGCAGGAAACAAGAGAAAAGAAAAAAGCACAAGGCTTTCGTGGCGGCACAGAAATTCTGATCCGTGTTCTTGGGAAAGCTGTCCGCTTCTAAGACGCGATCTGTTTCGGGGGGAGAAATTTGCCTGGTCAGCTTTACGTCAGAGTCTCCAACAGGTGTACAGTTCCGAGAGTCTGGTGGGGCCCTTTTGAGTTGGGAGACGTGGACCGAAGTTTCAAGGCCCTGAAGCTTCACTGAAGTGTAGGTGGTGAGAACTTGTCATGGTCCCTTCCAATGAAGTTCAAGGGCAGTCTGTCTTTGATGTTGTCTCCAGTTTCCAAACCATGAAGAGTTTGATTGTCCTCAGTTGAAAAACGTCCTTTACCTGGTGGAAATACACCTCGGCATAATGCGTTAATGTCTTGTGGTATTTAGTCATATCAGAGTTCAGGAGGGCAGGAGTGACCTGAGGTTCTATCG